TATTAGCATTAAATAATCATATTTGATTTCTATATCTATAAAAATTGTAGAGAATATGTCATAAATAAAGAGTTTAGGTATAGTAATTAGTTGAGAAAATATATATTTTTTAGATTTTATTGATTAATTTTCGTTTTTTAGTTATGTCAAAAATAAGAAAAGATCCGATTGAAGATTTCTGGGTCAAAATTAAACAAAATTTGACCCGATTAGGAACCCCAAAAAGTGTTGCAAAAATGTATAGTAGATTAATAGACATGCCGGAAAAAAGGAAATTTATCAAACCCTCCCTTGCGGTTTTAATTGAAATCCAACTTTCTTGGAATCCCGATTTCAAGATACCCTGATCTTTTTGTCTTTTGCACTGGGAAAATAAATGTATTCGTTTACCAAAACAAACAATAGTTACTTAAGATAGAAGCTTCGATCGATACAGAAAAACCAAAGTTATTATAGGTTTATAATCTTACCACACTATAAACATACTGGTTAAAATGTTATATATCGAACCCAATGCACGAAATAATTGGCAGTTTGTTCCGGTTGTAACCAAAATATTAAAAAATGAACTATACATAATAGAATAATTTGCCCCCCAAAAACAGGTACATAATAGTATAATTATATATTATTTCATAGAAACCCAAATAAAAGGACGACACGTGCATCCACAATAATAATAAAATAATAACAATGTTCTTATACGATAAGAAACATAGAAATGTTAAGAATATATTTTCGGGAAAATTAATATTTGTACCACAGTTGGTCCAAATCTTAGCTTTACTATCACATTAGAAGTCCAAATATCATTCATACAATCATACCACAATGTGGTAATAAAATGACTATTTTACCTTCCAATCGGTGAGACAAGGAACTGCGGTTGATGTAACCATCCAAAATTCATGCCGTCTTTTGTTTCTCCTCCAGGCGCATTGGTAACCGTTTTCGTCCCTCTGGCTGGTAAAACAAAGTTGTCCCCGAGTAAATTCAGATCTTCGTCTTCGGCTTTCTGGGAATAAAATAAAGATCAAGTGGTCCCCGAGTAAATCCAGATCTCTGGCTGGTAAAACCATATCATCTGGCGATAGAAAATCAAGAGAAGTTGTCTCCGAGTAAATCCAGATCTCTGGCTGGTAAAACCACATCATATAGCGATGGATAATCAAGAGATCCAGTTGTCCCCGAATTTAACCCATATCATCTCCTCAAACATCTTTATCAATTTACTTGTCTTGACCTAGTAATTAATGTTTTGCATTATATTTTAATGTCTAATAATCATTGTCACCATTTAATGTGGTTGTTCCCCTTTTTCAACATGTTGTTCTGACGCAAAGTACATAAATTTTTCTCTTTCTGCAGAGTCATCAAGGATAAGATCGTCCATCGTCTACTACAATACCACAAACAAGTGGTACAAGTGCTAAACCATTATCCTTTGTAGTAGAGATGCTAAGGAATTTTCTACATATGGTACATTTGGCAAAATTCCCTATAATTTTTCTTTAAAGGTATTTAATTTCATTTGCTTAATATCAAATGTAAAACTAGTTGATAAGTTTCTGAATACAAATCCCCTCTCTCTCTAATTACTGTAGAAATCAAGAAACTTATCCACTATCTCATGTTCCGAACTTTTGTATTATACATCTTGTGTGACAAAAACATACTTCAAATCTCCGAGTCTCAAGACTTACTACACGCATTCACCGCGTCATTAGTACTCAAGACGAACATATCGAAATTATGACACTCCTCTTATGATAAGATTTTTGAATTTCGATAATAAGAAAATATCGTTGGGGGTAAAAAAAACGTCCTTATTCCCGTTATGATGATCCGATATTTTGAGAGCAAATGAACAAACATAAGACATATAACAATCAACAATATTTGAAAAGGGAAGATAAGATGAATTAATTTATAAAAGATAAAATTACAAACATAAAGACAGATAACAATCAACAAATATTTTAGACAACCGGTGTAGTGCTTTTTTCTTTAAAACATTCTGACATGTCTATAGTTTTTTCACAATGGCGAGTAGTTAATTGCACCTTTAGTCGGAGTAACAAGCAACTGTTGTCTAGAGAAAAATTTACCAACTTGTTGTTTAGTAAGGTGCATGTCTTATGTCTTAGTCATTTCATACCAAACAAAGGATGTCTTATGTCTTAGCTATAGTCATATTTTTGAGTAATATCAATATCTATGCTCAGAACACCAAAATATTAAGTATCTATCCATGCTTTTTTATTAATTAAGTAGATAAGAGAGAGAATGATATTTTTACCATTTTACCCTTTTTCTACATCTAATTATCTGTTTTTCTTCCAAATCATCCCCTTTCCAAATCTTCTTCTTTCCTCATCGTCACCTCTTTTTCTTCACAAACAGATTTTATATATAACTCTTCATTTGGTTCATCAAATTCATCCTTTTGATATGTAACATACAATCATCACCAAATAATTCACAAAAATAGAGAGAATCTACACGAGTTTGGGATGAATTAAACTTTTAATTTGAAGAATTTAGGATGAAAATTATGGTTTTGTAATTTAAAATGAAGATGGAGAGGACGAAGATAAAGGAAATAAGGAGGAGAGAAGAAGAAGAGAAAGTGGTGAGATGATCATGGGATGGAGTTGCAGGTGACAATGGAAGAAGAAGAAAATTTGGGAAAATGACGACAAAGGAGGGTACTCGAGAAGAGAAGGAGATTTTATTATTTTTTACGTCCACGATAACACATAAGTTAACCGTGATAAACAAATTATCATGATAAATAAATATGCTAATGCATAAGTTAACGATGCTAATGCATAAGTTAACTGTGATAAACAAATTATCATGATAAATAAATCTGTTAATGTATAAATTAGTGGTAATAAATATATTATTAAAATAAATAAACATTTTATTATATAAGTTAGTCGATAAAATCATATGATAAATATTTTAGTACGATAAATATATGTTAACCATATAACTTTTAAAGTTACCGTGATACAATATGATTTATCCTGTTATTATTTTTGTTAGCGTTCACAAATAACTGAGGGTAGTTTGGGTATTAATTGGGTCAAAGGAAAGAGAACTAATTAAAAAATAAGTAGGGATAGATTTTTAATTTTTGAATCTTCTATGCATATCAATTAATATAACTCTTCATTAAACACTTATTAGATAAGGACATACATGTATAATTCAAAAAAAATTTAATTTATGTGAAATGTGTCAGAATTATTTGTGAAAAATACGTGTATACTCCCTCAAAAGACCAGCAAAATAAAAGACCAGCAGAATTTTTTGTGCATAATGTATAATTTGAGTTTGACCGACCTATTAAAAGACCAGCAAAATAAAAGCAATATATAGTTCGTAGTGTGACTCACAAGTTACAACAGACGAATATTTCCCATACAATGTCACCACTAGCAATTATTGGTGGAGTAATTAGCTGCTCATAATTATAAGCGAATAAATAAATAAATTCAAACTAATATCGAAATTAATACTATCGTTAAACAAAAAATGGTAAGCCTTTGAATAAAAATATGTAGTGGGCCACAGTGATTAGACCGACCAAAAAGTAACAATATTTAATTTCACTGCTATAGATTGCTGTG